ATTTCTAATACTAATTTCAACTGGAAATGGATACAAGATAATTAAAAAAATATATGACATTTATCTTAAAATTCTGGGTACTGACTAGATTAGATTCTTTAAACTAACTGTGAAAATCCAAAGAATAAGTGTATTAAACAATAGTCAGCATTCAAACAAGACTTTTATAAAATATGTATATTTAATGAACTTTAATATGGCATTAAAGGTGAAAGGTTATATTTAATTATCTTTTCGTGTAAGTAAAGGTTACCTTTTCACCTTTACTTTTTGTAAAGTTAATACAAAGATGACCTTGCTTTTTGGAGCACCTTTAATGAAATTTACTTCACAAGTAAAGTTTTGTAAAGGTGTTTTTTCAAGCAGTGTAGGCAAATCTTTTTTATATCATCTTTCAAAAATTGTCAAAGGTAACTTTGTATCCTCTGTTAGTAATACATGTATAAAATAGCCTGTGCATCGTGAAATATTATGATTTCCTATTAATATACAAGAATATACTCATGCAAAATCAGACAAGTAACAATCAGACAATGACCTGTTGATTTTTACAGTGAAGAAGATTGTAGACATGAACTCTAACCTTCATTCGGACAGGGGATGCTCACTCTTCTTTGGCACCTGATTCCACCTATGGTGGTTTAGAGTGTTTATTCCGCTCCTAATTTGTAATGTATAATGTTCAAAATTATATAATGTATCATCTAATTTTTTTTTCATTTAATTGATAATCCTTTTCAGATTTGCATACACAACATTTCTCATCTTACTCAAGTTGGCCCATGAGATTTCAATAATGTTTGTTTAGCAAAACAAACTATATTTAATTATGGTCAAGGGCAAAGGCCACTTAAGCCTTTTTTAACCTGAGAATTTCTGAAGAAATCAAAACTGCAAAGTTTAGGTTGAACATAGAGTATTTATCACAGAAACTTTTGATGACCATGTATCAATAAAACATCAAGTCAAGCATTATGACGTCTTAAAATGCGTCATTTTCTTTTTATACTGTATATTCCTTTAAAGACTTTTTTTCCCAAAATTTCATATCCACAACCTCTGATCCAAAAAATATAATTTCATAATGTAAGATCTGTTTCTGACCTCACAGCATGTGTGTTCCCAATATCTGGATTCTCAAGAAAGATTTTTTTTTATTATAGGAAAAAATAAAAACCAAAAAGTCTCTACTTTATTTTGATATATGAAATGGGAAAGAAGGTGATAGTCAATTAATTGATATTAAGAAAGGGTCATATTATGCAAAAAGTGAACCTAGCCATTTGCGTCAAATAATTTTTACCTAGTAGATATTTTTTTGTTAACATTTTCTAAGAGCACAGCGTGGAACTGAACCTATAAGACAACAGAAAGAACACCGAATGGTCTCTAAGTTGACTGAATGGTAAGGCACCTCCAGTCAGTCATCTTTCAGTAACCGCTCAGTTTACTGTATGACACATTTGCTAGATATTCCAAAAAACCTTAAAATTAACTCTAAGAATAGTATACATAGTGCAACACCAACAACCTCGACTGATTCATCAAACATATCATTACTTTCATTATACGTTTTTCCGTTTCAAATCCAGGACCAGTATTTTAGAAAAACATATTCTCATTCACATAAATAATTGTGCTCTGTTTTTATGAAATCTAGTATATTGCTCATTGTCATATTCAAATAATCAACGCAGAGAATAGTTTTAATATGTACATTTATTTATATAAAACAATATATGCCATACAGTCATTAATTTCATTTTTATGAGTTTGAATTTCCACATCACTCAGTCATTTTTAGCACCAGACATATCTTTTATTTCAATTTTTTTTAAGTGTCAGTACTTTTGGTCGCACCTCACAGCTGTAATAATCTGTCACAGTGATGGATCCCCTACAGACCGTTACAATGTCCTCCATATCGGTTTCAGTGTTACTGTCACAATACTCAAGACAGAGAGATTGAAGGTTTGTAGCAAAATTGGTGGAACGGTGCGGGAAGTGAATTTCTTCATAATCCTGGAAAAAGAGTTTCAGAAAGTTTATGTACTTGTTCACAATCTACATTCACTCAAAGAAGTAACATTCTGGGATCTCTCTATGAACATACAGTAAAATGTGTCCTATGCAAATTTTCTTACAAACAGATTGAAATTCATTTTGAAACATTTCTTTTAAAGGATTCAACAATATCTTTCTCATTCCTGAATAGATTACTATCAATTCATCTTTTATTTTCAGCTGATAATCATACACTAAACAAAGTTGCATACACACAACTTAGTATTTTCCAATGAAAAAAAAAAGGTTTAAGTCAGCGACACCAGTATACTGTATTTAAGCCTACTGCAGCCAAATTGAAGCATAGTGCCCTCAAAATCTTCCGTTCAAAGTACACGTGTAACAGTAATTATTTTCAGAGCCGATTGAGTTCATTTTATGCTTTGATATACATTTTACATGATTTTATATAGACAGAGCGATTGTAACAGCAATGATGACCCTGACTTACACGGTTGAATTCATATGAAATTATGCTATGTTAGCAAATTCGGTAAATACATCATCACTTGACTCTCCTTCATCGTCAATCTGCAACACTTCCTTGGCTGCTCTCTCTTTGGCTTTAAAGAAGAACAAAGCTTTACACCGACTCCATTCATTGTAATCTGAAATGTCAATGAAACTTTTAATAGAATTACTTATTAATAGAGCAAATCAATAGAGCTAAAAAAAATGATGAAGATGAATCGTATCACAATCCCAAGACAATATAAATGCATGCGGACTCACAAAATACAGAAACATATGAGAGATCCATTTTTGAAAGCATTCAGGAAATACACATTGTCGCCATACAAAAAGGAATACTATAACAGTTCTTTAAATTTATCACATTTAATCAAGGCAAAATACATTATTAAAAGTCCTGGTTTGGTATGTTGGTTGAGTGGAATTGCTTACTGGACCAATTTGGGATCTACAAAATCATTGTAAATTCGCATATTATAATAAATGTACATAAAATGTACTGACTTGATTCGTGCTCATGCATATCATAACATCTACTGTATACTTTGCATTTTACTGCATACTGCATTTTACTGAACATACTAAAGTAACTCCACAAAATATTTATACAAAATATTTGTGTACAGTAAACACGTGCTTTACACCATACATTGTAGCTACTACATACTATAATATACTAGTATACTTTTAGCATACTACTAGTACTTGAATTGATAGCAATACACACATTACTCATTCATGTAATTTACAACAAAGTTTAGAACTAAGGTCCTTGGCCATTTCAGGAAACTGTATAGGATAAAAACCTTTAAATTAACAAAACAAACTTACCTCAGAAGAGATGTAAAGTCTGGTCAAAATACTAATATGAAGAATACACTGTTAATACACGAGCAAGTGAAGTGCGTCTGCTCTACTCAATTGCTACACCCAAGCTGACCACATAACAGCACGGGATTTAAACCCGCCAAGTTAAAGCTGAACACGATTCATAAAAGTAATCTGTCCGCCATTTTTGTTCCCGAATCTCGCTACTCAGCAGACCCATATAAATAGAGCAAAATTTGGTCCCTGTTAAGTGTAATCAGTCGACACCGGTGAAGACGGACGTATGCTATACAGAACTCGGTAGCGAGAAAAAAAACGTAATACTTCGTCTAATGTAGGAAAATAAGATACCAAATAAGTTTACAATTATAGTTGTCTAAGACAGTGCAATATATAAACATCACAGATAAACGTAACTGCAATAAAATATAAACAAAGGTAATGCAAGATAACCAGCACGAACACGGGTCGCCATTTCACGCCGATACCCCTGACAATAAAGCAGTCAGGTGTAACGATTGCGACGAGTATACCCTGGTATTGACGCATCGTAGATAATGTTATCGAAAATGGCGTATGCCTATTTACGAGTCGTGTTCAGCTTTGATTCTACTGAACAGATAAAATATTATGGAACACAGTTATGGCACTTAAGTAAGTTATTTACATAGCGAAACAAGTGTAAGTTAAAATATATGAAACAATGTTTGGACGTTAATTGTGACACACATAGTAGTATTTTGGGGGTGGGAGGGGGAGGGTAACAGCCTCTGGCAAATGACTTCGAAACATATGAAGATAGCGTACAATATTCAAGCTCAAAAAGTCCTATAAACAATACAAAATTTGAGCAGAGCAAATAAGGATCCCCAAAAACATTGGAGGAGGGACCAAGTGCCAATGAGCATACCCAGCCACGGGTCAAACCAGCTGTGTGCTCCTTGTCATGATATAAAAAAAAAACCCAGGAAATCCGTTGAAGAATTGTTGTTAGCACCGAAATGTCTATGAAAATATATATTATCTGCATGTTTGCTCACATGCAGAAAATATTTATTGTTAAAATTTTACAACTGATCTGATATAATTGGAAGAAAAGGTTTAGATGTCATCAAAGCCTGACCATTCAAAATCATTTCGTTAATCCTAGGGCAGTGGTTTAGAATTGCTACTTCATCTTGTAGGCCTGATAACATGAAAAAAAAAGTCACAACTAAAATGCATCATTAAAGTTCTTCAATTAGCATGTAAACTAAACTAGAGTTTTACCAAATGTGTGGAGAAAGAAAAAGTTAAATCACTAGTGCTTGTGGATTTCTTAGGTCATCCTTATCCTCAGATTTTTAACTCCCTAAAAACAATAATTTTGTCATCAAACTTTTTTATTGGGTTTTCTATTTATACGAGTTACAAGTAGCCATGAAATAACGTCTTCATATACCAATGAAATTTTGATTGCCCATGAACATTGACCAACACGAATTGAAATAATTCTACAGTATTCCTCATGAAATGTTACCTATACCTTAATGTTCTTCCAAAATAAATGTGTTTTATGAGTAAAATACTTAACTATAAGAAGAAGGTACAGTTTCAATACAAATAAAGCCCTATATTATTTCTAAAATATGAAAGTGATATTAGAAATTAAAATTAATTCTTTCTGAATAATAGGAATTCTTTGCAGTAAGAATACGCAATGGTTTTTCTCATTTGACCTCCTAAATGCCAAGTGTGACGTCATAACTTGTGCATTTTCCCGTATTTTCTTAAAAAGTTGCAGAAGATCTCAATTTTCAGTGGAATTTTCTTTCAGAAAACATACTCTGCCACCGTCGCCCGGAAAGCAAAAATTAAAGCGGGCGACGGTGGCAGACACTATTTTCTAAAGGAAAATTAGCAGAAAACCTAGTCATTTTGAAGCTTCTCTGCATTAAACTTAGATATGCACCAAATTAATGACGTCATATTTCAAGAAAGGCTCTTCTTCATGCCATATTTTTAACGATTTAACATATTCATCTATTCAACTATTGTAAAAGCCAATTTCATAACTTTTTAAGAACATTAAATTTTAAGGGCACAATAAAGCTGAAAGCGTACCGTCTTCTTACTTAGCTTGCAGGGAAAAGTAGGATGAAAAAGACACTTCAACTTCACAAGTTTATAAAGGAATAATATAGTTACATTTATGTCATTAAGAGTTATCTCTCTTATCAGAGTATCGATTAACCTTAAACTGAAATTTTAGTTCGAAATAGCCATCATGTTTCAGCACTTACAGGATCCCCCTGCCCACCTAAGGTCTATGAATTCTAGATGACGTTGATTCTTTGCTAAACATACAAGGCCGCTCCTATTTATATCTTCAATGCTAGCAATATTGAGACTGTGCAACTGCCGGAAGTTGTCATTCAAAAGACCTGTGGATAGATTCGTTAATGCACCTTGTCTAGCACTGAAAAGTTATATACAACTTCGCTTCCGGAAGAGATAGATAAAACTAAGCTCGGTCAGCTCTGAACTGTGGGATATGTTTATATTCTTTAAATATAAACATAAATTATTTCTAATTAAAAAGAGAGTGTGAGATTATCATTTGATGAAGAACACATTCAAATTATATAGACTTTAAAAGCAAAAGTTAAATGATGTTTATAAATTTAAAATTTGTTAAAGGTATCTTTAGATGCTTTGCTAGGAATACAATAAAACTCTATATAACGAACTTATACGTAATTCGTTACATGTATATCCGTACAAGGAATTCAATAAATTTGTGTAGTTGGGATCCAGGATAACCTCGCTATATCCATGAATTCGCAATATCCTAAACGAGTTTTACTCTACATAACTGATTAAAATAACCTGTGAAGGGTGAAATATTCATGCAAAATGATGCAAAATCAAACTAGAAGCAATCACTCAATGTCCACAAACTCTAACCTACAATAAGATTTTTAACAATTCTTTTTTTCAATAATATGATACATCTAGAAGTACATTTTTGCTATTTCCTTCTGCCTTTCAAACACAGTAACTGAATGTAATAAAATGAAAATAGTTTTATTCAATGAAACCCTTAGAATAAGACATATATAGGTTTGATGTTGATAGCTAGAGAAATAAAATGATATATGAATAAAAAAAGGCAGCTGTTTTACAGCGGCATGTTCATTTCTTTTGTTATAAAAAAAAATAATGGAAATATATTGGTGAATAAACATAAACTAAAAAAATAGCGTATTCATGTATACATGTAATTGCGACCCATGACGTCAACAGGTCAGAAAGACTCAATAATTGCATTATTTAAAACACCAGCAACCTATCCAGAAAACCAATTGCTTACTTTTAAAGAAGATGTTAATAAATGAAAGTTTTTCTATTAAACAATTATTTACTGCAAAGGTAATACGATGCAGTCCTGTATACCGAGCACTCTATTGGTAAAGTCAACAGTCAAACCATATGGAATTTTGAATTTTTAAATGCACAGGTGTTTAATAAGAAATCATGAAATGATATGAAATATTCAATATAAATGAAAACTAAATTTCAAAATAGTCACTGTTTTTATAATAATACATTAGATTTATATCAATTTTGTTTGCTTAGTTTACAATTGAAGGTCGCTGAAACTCTGTTAAGGTCCTCGG